TGCTACCACTGAGAATAGTCTAGAACCATCCTCTTTGGAACCCCCTTTCAGGTAGTTGAAAGCAGCTATCAAATCCCCCCTCATTCTTCTCTTCTGCAGACAAAACAATCCCAGTTCCCTCAGCCTCTCCTCATAAGTCATGTGCTCCAGCCCCCTAATCATTTTTGTTGCCTTCCGCTGGATGCTTTCCAATTTTTTCACATCCTTCTTGTAGTGTGGGGCCCAAAACTGGACACAGTACTCCAGATGAGGCCTCACCAATGTCGAATAGAGGGGAACGATCACGTCCCTCGATCTGCTGGCAATGCCCCTACTTATACAGCCCAAAATGCCATTGGCCTTCTTGGCAACAAGGGCACACAGTTGACTCATATCCAGCTTCTCGTCCACTGTAACCCCTAGGTCCTTTTCTGCAGAACTGCTTCCTAGCCACTCGGTCTCTAGTCTGCAGCAGTGCATGGGATTCTTCCGTCCTAAGTGCAGGACTCTGCCCTTGTCCTTGTTGAACCTCATCAGATTTCTTTTGGCCCAATCCTCTAATTTGTCTAGGTCCCTCTGTATCCTATCCCTATACTGATCCTGCTTAACATGTGAGAGCATGTGAGGACACTGCCCAAGGCGCTATCATTGCAGAGTCTGCATGACCTGTGGTGAAAAGGGAAAAAATATACACAACAAAACAAAGGGAAGATTGTACAGCAGGGGCATGTTGGACACACGCTGCAGATGTGACCACAGCAGGCACCAGGCTATTGGGGAGATGAAGGAAAGTGTCATGCGAAACAGCAACGTAGTTGTATTATAGGAAGACGTGTGATGCTGGCAACATTTGAAAGCTGTCCCTGCAATTTTGCAGAGTTAGCAGGTCCCCACTGTAATGAAATTTTAATGGGAAAAGGCACAACTGTCACCAAATGTTTTCAGGAGCTTAGGTCTGACCTGGTTTGCTCTGCAGGGCCGGCTGACTTGGGGGCATCACGTGGCTGTGCTCCATAGGGAGCCAGGGAAGCTAAACCTGGCTCTGATTTGTAGGCAAGTAGGAAGCAGACACGGAAGGGAACTCTTGTAACACTCCAGTGAAGGAGGTCTTGGCTCAGGAGCAGTGTGCCAAGGAGGGGAAAAGGTGAGGCCCAGCATTTTGATCCAAGCCCTCCTCTAGTTTTCTTAGCACTCTGAGTAGGTGAGAGATGGCCAGGCCCCAGAGGAAGCCCCAATTCCCTAAGAACTGTGATAAGAGTCAGGGGTTGGCTGCTGCGATCTGGTGAGATCTGCTTCCACCTGACATGACTAACACTAGGACAGCCAGCTCCCACGTTAGTCCTGGCATGGGCACGTTATGGAGATTAGGGGATATAAGCCAACAGGATGAGCCAATCTCAAACAATCTCCCTTTTATCTCTGGCACAAAAGGGCTTTTCTCCAGCACAGAGCAGGCACGGCCTTCCCTCGCAGCCCTGTGATAGTTAGTGTGGCCACTGCATAGAAAAGTTTGTTCGTTGTCTGCACTGCTGCTGGACTTCCCCTGTGTGTTCCCTCCAGATATAGCGTGGTGTGCTGTGGGGCTTTTTTTTTTTTTGGGTGGGGGGTGTAAATATATTCTAGTTCAAGCTAAACACACGGAGCAGAAAACCCCGCTCCAATGCCATCATACAGCCAATGCTGTCCAGTGACCATTAGTAGCGCTCGTTTCCTTCTGCTTGACCTTGAGACCAGCTTCTGTTATGCACTGTAATTAACACGGGAAGATCCCCTGCTTTTGCTGTCCTACCACTGAGGAGAGTGCACTGGTACTAGCAGCTCATAATTCATAAAGTCTAAGGCCAGAAGGGGCCGTTAGATCTAGTCTGGCATTCTGTGCATCACAAGGCATGGAACTTTCCCCAAAAATTCCCAGAGCAGATCTTTTAGACAAACAGCCAGTCCTGATAGAAAAATGATCAATGATGGAAAATCCACCATGACCCTTGGTAAGTTTGTTCCAAGGGTTAATTATCCTCCCTGTTAACATTTTACATCGTATTTCCAGTCAGAATGTATTTAGCTTCCACTTCCAGCCATTGGATCTTGTTAGACTTTCCTCTGCTAGACTGAAGAGCCTGTTATTAAATATTTGGTCCCCACATAGGTACTTACAGACTGTGAACAAGTCACCCTTTAACCTTCTCACTAATAGATTGAGCTGCTTCCATCTATCACTGTAAAGCAGGCTTTCTAATGCTTTAATCACTCTCGGGCTCTTCTCTGAACCATCTCCAATTTATCAACATCCTTCTTGAATTACAGATGCCACAACTGGACACAGTATCCCAGCATCGGTTGCATCAGTGCCCCAATATTGAGCCCAATAACTTGTGACTGGCTAAAGAATATCTTCCAAAAAAGGCATCCAGGCCTGATTTGAAGACATCAAGAGATGTAGAATCCACCAGTTCCCTGGAGAGTTTGCTCCAATAGTTAATCACCCTCATTCTGCATCACTGCCTTGTCCTCATCATTGTTTACCCATCAGCCAATCTTTGGGTCATGCACAAACTTCCATTGTGATTTGATATTTACTCCTAGACCTGATGAACCTGCAGAACTCTCCTCGAAACACCCCCGTTCCAGGCTGATCCCCATTAACGACTACTTTTTGAGATCTGTAAATTAGCAGGTCTTAATCCATTTAATGGGGTCTGTTGATATTGCACAGTGCTGCCTTTTTAACCAGAATGTCCTGCAGTACTAAGACTTTTGTAAGGCATTCGACTAAGTCTATTACATCTATTCAGTTATCTTTGTCAGTGACATCGAATCTCATCATGGACTGAAATCAGGCTTGTTTGACAAGAACTATTTTCATTAAAACCATGTTGACTGGCAAAAATTATATTCCTATCCTTTAATTCGTTATTAATTGAGTCTCATATCAGCTTTTCTATTTTTCCTGGCACCAATTGTTACCTGTGTCATCCTGCTTTCCCTTTCTGAATATTAACACAACAATATCGTTCTTCCAGTCTTCTGCAATTTCCCTGGTATTCTAAGATATATTCAGAATTAACATCAGTGGACAAGGGATCTCCTCAGCCAACTCTTTTAGACCTTTGGGTGCAAGTTATCTAGACATGCTGATTTAAAAATATTTATCCCTTGTAGATGTTGTTTGACATCCTCCTTAGTTACTAATAAGCTGGAAATACTTCACGTCCTGATTCTTTCCAAATATAGAACAGAAATATTTATTGAATATTTCTTCCTTTGCTGCGTCATTATTAACAATTTTCTACCTCTGTCCAATAATGGACCTATCCATTGCTAGGATTTCTTTTGTTCCTAATATACTTTAAAAATGCCTTCTTATTGTCCTTAGCCCTGCAAACCATGGCCTGAACTAGACAGAACGCAAGAGGTAACACTGAGGGGTCAGTCCCATGTTGGACAGTGGTTGTACTAGGTTAAGATTGTAGGAAACAAATTCTTTTCTGAGTTACAGGAGTGTAAATCCAGTCACTCCACTGACTTCAGTGGAGTTATTCTGGTTTTACACTGGTGAGGCCAACAGCCGAATCTGGCCCTAAGTCTCTTCATCTCCAGTTTGTGGTGGTGATGATTATGGTAAAAAATACTTCAACTTATTTACAGTAGCAGCTTTTCCTCCACGGAACTCCAAATGGTACAAAAAGAGTGTCCTAGCGAACGTCCGTAGCCCCGTTTCATAGCAAGGGGCTGGTTCAAGCACAGTTCACTTCTGACCTTAAGAGCTGTAGGAAGTGATTTCCAAAGGAGCCTAGGGGAGTCAAGGTGCTCAAATCTCAGGGGCCTAACTCCCTTTTGAAAATCCCAGCCATGAAAGTTAGTGATGGGCACCCCACAAAGAACTTCAGCCCTGCTCCACCATTTCACACACACTTGTGGAGGTGTGACTTGTTATACTGTGTCTCCCTGGAATTTACTATAACCAGCGAAAAACAATGAGTGAAATTCTGACCCCATTGATGTCAATGACAGAATTCCCATAGAGTTCAATGGGGCCAGGATTTCACCAGTGGTTTTGCTGAGAGTAGGTTAGGGAGCAGAAGCCAGGAGTTCCTGAATTCCAATCCCAGCAGCTGTGTCTCTCTATGTCCTTAGGCAAGTTATTTCCCCCCGCTGTGCCTCAGTTTCCCCATCTGTAGAAAAATACTGTAAATACTAACACTGTACTTTCTCTAGGGCATCTGGGAGTTTAATTCATTGTAACTGGAGCTAGCTAAAAATCATTGAGAGAATAATTCTTCAATGACTGTTGCTTCTGTCACATACAGTATGTGTCCCATCTGCAGATTGCTGGCTGAATATTATTCACTGAATAAATTAACTGGCTGACAGAATTAGTCCCAGGATAATTTATTTGATTAATACATTTTCTGATGCTCATCCAGCTCTGGTTATTACATAGCTGGACTCAAGCTCCAAAACTCAGATCTGTGTTTCGAACTGCCGAGAGGTCTGTTGTTCAGTTCCAGCGTCGGGTTGAGGGGCCCATCCTGAGGCCATTAAAGCTCTTTGAAGTGCTATGACTAATTAGCCCCAGTTTTGATGTCTGTAGAATGTAACTGGAAATCTAACAGGAACAAGCGCGCTCACAATTTCCACTGCTTCTGACGTCTGGCACAGCTGTAATTAGCACCAGAGCATCTCTGTCACCGTGCGCCAAGATTTCTTGCCACCGCAACTGGAAGGTGGAAGTGCGACGGCAGCTCTGGCTCTGAAATGTCACTGCGAGGGATGATCAATGCACATCTCAGAACCACCAGGGAGGGGCTGTTCTAGAAATGGGCAAGGGTGGGGGAAGGTGAGTCTGGAGGCCTGAGTGCTGCTATTCCTGACTGTCGAGTTGGCCAACTCCCTTTAAGCCAAAATTTCAAAACTAGCCTCTAATTTTGGATGCCTCCATGTTTGTATCCTCAGCTTGAATTTGTTCAGTTTGGTTTGGCGTCATTTTTTGTTGTTGTTGTTTTTTCTCCTTTCAGACGGTGTCCCTCTCTTTGAAGGCTCATGTTGCAGTTCCCCCGTAATGAACCTTCCTTGAAGAAAGCTCGGCGCTGGAGGAATGGAAGGTGGAGCAGCGTGGATGCTAGAATGCAGTAGTATTTCCTCCTGAGTGAAGAGAGACTCTTCTTCCTGTAATCTCCTTGTCTCTCCGTCTGAGGAGATATTAGCCAAGACTCACAGATGGGATCATTTACAGTTTCCTTTTGGGCAGCCTTGGCCCTTTCAGATTTTGTTTATTCAGGCGAGGTTTTCAAACAAGTGAGGGCGGAGCAGCGAAGGGCTCTCCTCAGATATGCTGATTTGGATTATTGGTGCTGCAGGTCCGGTGGCCGATCTGACACAAAATGATGGATGGTAAGATCGCCTTGTGTGCTAGCTGTAAACTTGGCAGGATTGGAAAATTGTGACGTGGGAGGCTGTTTTCTTTGCTAGGCCTTAAATCCCTGTTCTCAAAGTAATCCAGAGAATGGAATGCTGTGGTCATTACTAACCAACAAACGGAAAATCCATTCAAAATGGAAGGCAGCTTGCCTTGTTCACAGTCAAATGTCTGGAGGGTGGTTACTTTGGAGGTTTGTTTTTTTTTTTTTAAGAAAACACAAAACCCAAGTCAAAATTTGCTTCAAAAGAAAACAGATTTTAGAGAAGTCAGAGCGGCCTGCAGCACGGAAACATTTGCCGTTTCTGTAAGTGGTCCCCTACCCATAATGAATCTATGAACAGAGCTGACAGCAAGCAACAGAGTGTCATAGTCATTTCTATGGGCAACATTATGGGTAATTCTCCTAGCAGCTATGGGTTAAATAAGTACTTTAGAACAGAATAAAACTGTCTGGTACATTTCTGCCTCTAGTCCTGGGAGCGCTACAGATAGGCCAGAATCATAGAATCATAGAATATCAGGGTTGGAAGGGACCCCAGAAGGTCATCTAGTCCAACCCCCTGCTCGAAGCAGGACCAATTCCCAGTTAAATCATCAAATCATCACCAGAAATCTGATGAGGTTCAATAAGGATAAGTTCAGGGTCCTGCACTTAGGACGGAAGGACCCAATGCACAGCTACAGACTAGGGACCGAATGGCTAGGCAGCAGTTCTGCGGAAAAGGACCTAGGGGTTACAGTGGACGAGAAGCTGGATATGAGTCAGCAGTGTGCCCTTGTTGCCAAGAAGGCCAATGGCATTTTGGGATGTATAAGTAGGGGCATAGCGAGCAGATCGAGGGACGTGATCGTTCCCCTCTATTCGATATTGGTGAGGCCTCATCTGGAGTACTGTGTCCAGTTTTGGGCCCCACACTTCAAGAAGGATGTGGATAAATTGGAGAGAGTCCAGCGAAGGGCAACAAAAATGATTAGGGGACTGGAACACATGAGTTATGAGGAGAGGCTGAGGGAGCTGGGATTGTTTAGCCTGCAGAAGAGAAGAATGAGGGGGGATTTGATAGCTGCTTTCAACTACCTGAAAGGGGGTTCCAAAGAGGATGGCTCTAGACTGTTCTCAATGGTAGCAGATGACAGAACGAGGAGTAATGGTCTCAAGTTGCAGTGGGGGAGGTTTAGATTGGATATTAGGAAAAACTTTTTCACTAAGAGGGTGGTGAAACACTGGAATGCGTTACCTAGGGAGGTGGTAGAATCTCCTTCCTTAGAGGTTTTTAAGGTCAGGCTTGACAAAGCCCTGGCTGGGATGATTTAACTGGGAATTGGTCCTGCTTTGAGCAGGGGGTTGGACTAGATGACCTTCTGGGGTCCCTTCCAACCCTTATATTCTATGATTCTATGATTCTTTTGGCCCAATCCTCCAATTTGTCTAGGTCTTTCTGTATCCTATCCCTCCCCTCCAGCGTATCTACCACTCCTCCCAGTTTAGTATCATCCGCAAATTTGCTGAGAGTGCAATCCACACCATCCTCCAGATCATTTATGAAGATATTGAACAAAACCGGCCCCAGGACCGACCCTTGGGGTACTCCACTTGATACCGGCTGCCAACTAGATATGGAGCCATTGATCACTACCCGTTGAGCCCGACAATCTAGCCAGCTTTCTACCCACCTTGTAGTGCATTCATCCAGCCCATACTTCCTTAACTTGCTGACAAGAATACTGTGGGAGACCGTGTCAAAAGCTTTGCTAAAGTCAAGAAACAATACATCCACTGCTTTCCCTTCATCCACAGAACCAGTAATCTCATCATAAAAGGCGATTAGATTAGTCAGGCATGACCTTCCCTTGGTGAATCCATGCTGGCTGTTCCTGATCACTTTCCTCTCACTTTCCAATCATACAACTGTCACTCCCAGAGGTAAGCATTTACCTGTACAAGGAGTCCTGTAAGGATGAGGCCTTTTCCTGTAGCCATATGGTAAGGCCTACGGCCTTTGTCTGCAGCCAGATTAGGAGAGCACCAGCCATAAACCAAGAAGCAGGAAGTCACATCCTCACAGTCCATCTAAATTACATTAAAATCTCATATCAGGCTGCCAAGAAGGAGACCCCGTCCTAATAGCACCTGCCATCACCAGATAAGTAAACAGATCTTAAGATGGTTAAAGAAAACTTAGTTTGATAGCATCTGTCTGACAAGAAATCACTTATCAATAGTTGTGATTGTGAAATCCTCATTTCTTTAATGTTTTATCTTTATGGTCCTCACTTCTCTATTGTTTGTCTGTATGATCCCTGGTTCCTCAATTGTTTCTGTCTGTTACATCATTAATTTTGCTGGGTGTAAATTAATTAAGGTGGTGGGGTATGATTGGTTAGAGAATTTTGTTGCAATGTTAGGACTGGTTAGTAATATTTTAGTAAAATGATTGGTTAAAGTACCGCTAAGCAAGACTCAAGTTTCACTTTATAAATTGGGGTCCAAATTTAAGGAAGTTCTTTGGAACCAACTCCAGGACACAGCCCCAAGATCAGAGCTGCCAGACCTCAACACTCTGCCAATGACACCGTGCAGAACCTGGAGTCCCCCAGATGGACCTGATTCTGACTGGCCATCAAGAAAAGTTCATCTGCCTTATTGGGAGTGGTGAGCATTGTATGTGTAACCTGTGCATTCTGTTCTGGTGATTGTTAATAAACGGATATTAAGGATATTACTGTGTAAGGCTCTTTCACTGGTAAAAGACCTTGTAAACCCTCAAAAGATTAAGACCTGAGTCCAGAGGGAATGGGTGTTTGCTCTGAGTCCAGAAAGAATGGGGGTTTACCCCTCCGTTGGCTCCGGGCTCTACTCCTCCAGGCTCCAGGTAAAGTTAGAGTGTCTAAATTAAGAGGGTTACACCTTGAGCTCTAGGAACTAGGTAGAGGTGCGTGCCCTAGAGTGTGCAAGTGACAGAGAATTTTGTGCGGGTAACAGTCCCACTGATTACCGTGAGAATGTGCTCACCTATGTGTGCAATGGATGCCCCATCCAGTCCAAATGAAGGAGCTCAAGATGCAAAGTTTGTGTCTGAAATTGCATTCCGCTGCAGTGTGGGTCTGTGCAGTTGAGGGGGATGAGACAGCCCATTAAAGATGTACCATAGGATCCAGCCAGAGTGTGTCTTGAAGGGACTTCCCACAGGAGACTGCCCCGAACTCTGAGCCAGAGCATGTTTTCAGCATTGCACCGAACTCAACTAGTTTCCGGAGACAGGGCCCAACAGCACCATTTATTCAGTTTTGGTTCAGGCACGTTCACATGTCACTGTCCTGCAGGTCAATTTCCAACACCACCCAAAGTCTCACAATAATTCATTGAGAACCAATGCGTCCTGGCAGGTTCATCAATGACATTCCCATGGGAGCTCTGTGGCACCTCAGAAAAGCTCCCGACTGACTTGGGCTGGTTTTCATAACAGTAACAAACCCTGTAGGAGTGAGAATTCCTTGGGCTTGCCATTCACATAGACACGGGCTCGCACTGCACAATTTGGTTCTGGATCTGAATGTCTAATGTCCCAAATTGCTGGAGATATTTGGATCCATCTTTTAGGTTTGTAACTAAGACTCCTGTTGGGTGCCTTGGAAAGAAGAAAGAGCCCCACATGGGGTCTATGTAAAAGGCCTGGAAATCTGGAATGGATGAGGGCAGCCCCTGTGCCCACACAGCTTTGTAGTGTTTGGAACAAAGCAGCCAAGGTACCGTTTCCTTTCTTTACAGACATAGCATGGCTGCAGAACTTTGAGATTGTTTCACATGGCAGCGCCTGCAGTTTGTCAGGTTCTGAGCCTGAATACTATGGTAGAAGAAGAGGGGTGAATGGTGTAGTGGGGACAGCACAGTTAGATGGTGGGGGGGTTAGTTAAACTTTAAACATAAGAACATAAGAATGGCCCTACTGGGTCAGATCAAGGATCCATCTCGCCCCAGTATCCTGTCTTCCGACAGTGGCCTGTGCCAGGTGACCCAGAGGGAATGAACAGAACAGGTAATCATCAAGTGATCCATCCCCTGTCGCTCATGTCCCAGCTTCTGGCAAACAGGGGCTAGAGACACCAACCCTGCCCATCCTGCCCATCCTCCATTAATTTATCTAGTTCTTTTTCAACCCTATTATGGTCTTGGCCTTCACCATATCCTCTGGCAAGGAGTTCCACAGGTTGACTGTGTGTTGTGTGAAGAAATACTTCCTTTTATTTGTTTTAAACCTGCTGCCTATTAATTTCATTTGGTGACCCCTAGTTCCTGTGTTATGATAAGTAGTAAACAACACTTCTATACATACATAAAAAAAAATCAATAAACCTGCATTGTAGGAAGTTAATCAAAAAAGGGGAGAATGGAGTCTGAGAGAAGGGACTCAAAGGGATGATGCTCCTGGTCAGCACTGTGATATATTCTAAATAACGGCTCAAGTGAGCTGGGATGACTCAAGGGATTGGGGATGGGATGGGGGGAGCTTTTTCCCTCCACATTGCTGCTTTAAATCCAGCTGCAGTTGAAGAGTAACCAGCAGTTATCATGTGACAGCTGTAGGTGTCCTATGGGAAATGAGCTGGTGTTCTCAGCCCAGCACCTGTGTGGCCGTAATTCCTCACCCACTCCCCTTGCTGAAGTCTCTATGGAGGAAACTTGAACTGAAATATGTGTGTTATTTATTGGAGGTGGGAGGTTAAATTTTTTCTGACCCTTCCGGGCTCCCTCTGGGAGACCAACAGAGACATGAGCAGGGGCCACGGTGTGTCCTGGGCATAAACAAAAACATTACAGTCTGCTGGGCTGCTGGCAACGTGCCAGTCACTGGGGCTAATTAACTGTAATTATTGCTATTGCTGTTGTGTAGATCCTCATGGCCCTGGTGAGCTCGGTACTCTATGAGCATGGAATGACCGTCCCTGACCTATGAGCTGAGGCCCCGATTCTGCCAAGACTTAGCGGGCTCCACTTTATCCCACTGGCTGTGGGGCTGCTCACGTGTGAACAGATCAGCATCTGCGGCAACCGTCGCCGCACACCAGACACCGGCTATTAGCTCCTGTTTCGTGGGCCTCCCAGCGGAGGGAAGCTCTAAAGAGGGATCTGAAGGGAGACTGGCATGGCATTGTAGCAGTTAGCACCAGGGGCAGCAGAGGATAAAGCATGAAGAAATACCAATGATTCTTATTTAACATTAATATTCCCGTAGTGCCCAGAGGCCCCAGTCATCATGCTGAGGGCCCGATTGCACTAGGTGCTGTACAAATGCATAGGAAGACCTAGTTCCTTCCTGCCCTGAAGAGTTCGCCGTCTGTGCCAAAGTAGCAGCTCAGAATTCTCTCCCCAGACCTCCATCTGGTAAAAGAAGTGCCGACGGGGGCATGTTCTGTTTGCTTCAGCTGCACAGCGAGACGGGTTCACATGAACTCTCCTGGCTGGTAACAAAATGATTTTACATATGTAGGAAGCAGGATGTGCAAAAGCCCAGGAGTCTGATCTTGTTTCTGAGATCAAACAGAGTCGCATTGTACAGGGGTGTGGAGCTGATGTCACTGTCTAGTGTGCCGGACAGCATCGCCGTGGTTACGCAGCTGGACCGGAATAAAGCAAGTCTGTATCTGAACTCATTAATTTTTACAACCAACTGAACAGTTCTGCCTCTTTTTTGGCGTGTGGAGGAGGACGGCCAATTTGGAACATAGGGGTCTCCCTGTGACCAGACCTCCTCTCATTATCAGGCTGTCTGTGACAGCAAACACCACTGGATGCGCTGGGGCCATGACAGCCTAGGGAGCGTGTGGGGGCAGGTAATACGATATGTGCAAACCTCTTTCACCTCTCCTCGGCCCCTGCCATTTCCCGGGGACGCTGAGCCAGCCGTATGGGTTCTTTACTGGGAGACTCACAGGGGCTGGGGGAGCAGTGAAAATGCAAGAATACTGTGAGTTGCTCTTTCGGCTTCAGGTTATGGCAGCATTTCTGTTATCCACCGCTATTGTCAGGGTGTTATAAATTGGCTATAAAACTCCAGGCTGGGCTCTGGCAGGCCAGGCCTCAGCAGAGAAGTCAAGCTTTTACTTTTTAAATATTCAGTTCAACGGAGGGTTTAAACATCTGTTTAAGATGCTTTTTTTTAAAAAAAAAAAATTCTTTTTGCATTTTTACAAGTAATGAGTGAATTATTCAGTATAAAACTTGGTAGTCACAATTTGCACCTTTCATTGAAGTAGCTCAGGGCTCTCTATGAATAGTCAGAACATGCCTGTGAGGAAAAGAAGCAGTTCTTTTTAGGCAGAAACCTGTCTCTTTATTCTGTGTTTGTACAGCACCTAACACAGTGGGGTCCAGGTCTGGAACTAGGGCTCCTGCAATAATACATACAAAAATAATAATATGCCATTTGCAAATGGGTAAACTGAGGCAAAGGTGGTTAAGTGACTTGCCCATGGCCACACATAAATCAGTGGTAGAGTTCAGGTTAAAACTTAGGACTCTTGAATTACTGCTAGCACCACTCGATACAGACCCTCTTCCCCCCCATCCCCCAACTGGAGTCCTTGCTCCCAGTCCCCTGCTTTAACCACTAGACACACTACCTACGGTGATGGAATGGGATGTGCAGTAATTTCTGTTCCTCAAGGGTTTTTTCCCATATGGGGTTTTTACGCTATGTAGCCTTAATGCGACTCCTCGTACATATTGTTTGCAGTGTTGTAGCCACGTCGGCCCCAGGGTATTAGAGAGGCAATGTAAGGAAGGTAATAGCTTTTATTAGACCAACTTCTGAGAGACAAGCTTTCGAGCCACACCGAGCTCCTCTTCAGTCGGGACCTGAAGTTGGCCCAGTAACAGATATTACCTCCCCCACCTTGTGTCTCTATTTGCTGACACGGGGCCAGTCCTGTGAGAGATGATGATGCACAGCTCAGAATAACGGACAATGAGAACTCACCTGCTCTTTATGGAAGCGAATGGCTGCGCTCTTGGTAAAGCCAGTGAGGGGCCGCGCTCAGACAAACCCGCAGTGCCGGCGTGCTCCCCCAGCTCCTCAGAGCTGGCTCTCAGCCTGGACAGCTCACAGCGACCAGGCTGCAGGGGCCTCTCGTGCCATGTTTTAATGACCGTTCTCACCATGCTCTGCCCAGTGCCCGGCCCGGTGACTGGGCGGGCTGCTGGGGGATCAGCAGGAGCAGGCACGGAGGATCCGCAGTGGGCAGTGGAGGAACGGTGTAGCCAGGCTTCAGTGTTGGAACAGGGCCCATCCCCTCTGTGCCCCCACTTCCCACACGTATGGGAGGAACAGTCAGTGGGCCCACACGGAGAAAGCTCCATCAGCTCTCCCCTCAAGCCAATACCAAGCCCGCCGTGATGGACTGTGCTGCCCACACGCACCCCGAAGGGGTTTACGTAGGCCCAAGGGGCCAATTACCCTATTAAACTGCAAACCTGGGGACATTTAGGCTGAGAACAGAGCCCTAATTTAGGCACCTCACCTGTGCAGGAGCAGGAGGGGCTTCTACAAAGCCAGGGAGCTGGCTGCAGGGGGAGCGCTGCCATCCCTTGCCCGGGGACAAGGGAGAGAGGGGTCGGCGCCAGGAGGGAGGGTTTGTCTAGCGGACCCAGGAGATAAGGGTATGGCTAGAAGGGTGGGGAATGCGACCCGGGCATAGGCAAGGCAGGTCGTAGTCCAGGG